AATAGAGGTGCTTATTAAAGTTCAACCGATGAAAACTAAGCTAAGTCTAAAAATATATTGTTATACATCAGTTTAAAGGTCTATAAATCTTCTTTGGTTTGGTTTTAAAATCGTATGAAAAATAGATAAGCGGTTAATAGATAAGTTTCATGGCTTTTTTTGTAGCACCGTGTAATTAACTTAGAATCCCACAAATCTAAATTGGTTTTATTTTTTACTATGTATAAAATATTGTATGCACATATTTTTGTGTGGCACATATCCGACTTTTTCTTGAAAGAATTTCAAAAATACATTTTTATGACCCCGCGAACCCACATAACCAAGAGGAGCCCTGCTTTATAACTTGAAAAAAAAAAATCTCTATATGTGACCTGGTCTACGGAAAGGGGGCTTAGGTGTCAAAAAATCAATTTTCACTTTTTGGTTGATTCGGATGGAAGATGAGATGATTTTCACTTTTAACAGCTTTTTCACAGAAAACTTTTTTCGCACGTAAGCTCCCTTTTCGTAGACCAGGTCACATATAGAAATAAGCTGCACACTAATTTGCATATATATATAAGTATGAGATGTATGAGTCTATTGCTCAAGCAATTTTTAAAATAATAAATTATTTTGCACAACTTCGAATAAGATTTGTTATTCCTTGTCAATGAGGAATTCAAAGAAATGGCCATTTTCTTATAAGCACTGAAGATATGCTACTTTTATTAATTCAAATAAATTTTAAAAATCCGCGCGCGAGAGACATTGTAGAACAATTGTGTAATTTTTTTAGTGACAAGCAAAAAGCCGGCTTGTGTTGCTACACCGCCAAATTTTGTTTTGTTACAGTAAATCAGTATATATTGGCCTTAAATTAAGAATTTTTTACTTGAAATATTAGCTTACTGGCGAAGTTTAGTATATTTTGAGCTCTTGCTGTTTTTATTTAAAAAATTTACCTTTGCTATGAAATCGACAGAAAATATACATTTTTAATATCTTTACAACAATGCATCATTTGTAAAAAATCGTTCACCAAATAGAACAGTAGTAGAAATACATGAAACAAGAATGAAAGTAGGAATACAGGAATACAAGGTGCCGAAAAAAAAACGTTTTACACTCACGAAATACACTCATAGTAGGGCTGTTAATTTTTTCGCTTTTTACGATCCCGTGATTTTTGGGAACTCATTATCATATTCCCGGGATCCAGGGGATTAGTCCCGGGATTTAGATATTCATTACTTTTCAACAACTTAAATCGAAAAAATTGCTTCAATATTGTCTGAGAAGCTCTCCTACCATAAAATAAATAATAAATAAATGGGTTTGAAACCTACTTTTTTATTTAAAGTGAAAAATAGTTCATAAGTGACAAAACAAAAGACAGTAATTAAATATATACGCATTTAATAATACTTTAGCGTGTACATATCTGATAAATTAACTTAAGGTTTGCCGAAAAATGCTCGATGCAAAAAAAATTTAAGTCAACAAATGTATTTTGTAGTTGAAAGAATTTCAAATATACATACAAGTGGCAGAAATAAAAGAAACGCCTTATTTCGATCAGTATTGTCTATATTTCTTTTGTTTATTTTATGTATAAAATTTTTTTTTATAAATTTTACACACAAAAATCAATATATTCGCGAAACCATGGGCTTACATCACACTCCCAGTAAAAAATGTGCACTCTAGTGCGTCTTTTGGAATGCAATGTAGGGCATTATGCTTTTATATCGTTTAATTCCTCACTCGGTTTTGCTTAATGACAAACATTCTTTTTAGCAAAACAGAGCTCCGACGGTACGTCACATAAAATTCTGAAGATACCAAAATCTCTGTACTCATATAGGGTAAAATAAAACGCTCAACCATTCCTTATCAATTATCTCTGAATCAGTGGCGGATTGTGCGGGGGGTGGAGTTTTGGGTGTTAAACTACATGTCAGTCAGTGATGGACCCCCCGCTGGATCCGCCACTGCTTTGAACACTTAGTCATTAGTTCCTATTGGTCTTACGATACGCAGTAAAAAGTAGCTTTTGTGCCGCAAAATTTGAGGTAGAAGATTACCTGAATAGTCAATGTTGACGTAAATACTTAACCAAAATCCATATAAAAACTAAATAAAATATTTTTTTTTGATATTGTAAATTTTTTTTTTGATAACTACTTAAGTATTATCTTATCATAAATGAAGCATTTGGTATCTCCACGGTATATCTCCAAAAAAATTAAGCAATTTACACGGAGATTTCACCACACAAGACAGCAATAAAAGAATTACATTTGAAATACGAGTAACGGCAGGTGGCTTTTTGTAAATAAAAACACTTCAGTTTTTATCGTTTGGACTTTAAAGTTTGAGATTTTTTCGGGACGGTTTTATTATATGTATACAGTTAGGGAATTTTTTATGTTGGATTTTGCTTGTATAAAATAGAGATGCCAGATGAAAATAAAAAAAATTGATTTTGGAATCGATTCGAATCGAAATAAAAATAATCGATGCAGAAAGAAATCGTCAAAAAATAAATCGATCTCCCAAAATTGATATATATAATATGAACATTCAACAAAAATTTCATAAATCCTTAGCACAACTTAGGAAAATGGTAAAAAATTTTTAGAATTTTTGTTTTTTTTTTTTATAACAAAAGAGAAAAAATTTTGTTTTATTTCAAAATTTACCGCTATTTTAAAAAATGTATTATACATTAATACAATAGCCAAGTAAAGTTTATGTATATAGATTTTTTGGCAATACAGATTTTTTAAGTTTTTTTTGTTTTCATATACAGCAATTCGTTATTAGGCCTAAAAATAGAAAAAACGATTTTTTATGTTTTCGCTAACTGCGTATTTCACTCCATATTAAACAAATCGGACCATAAATACCATTTTTTTCGAATAGATTGGTCTCTGGTCTACCTACCCAAAAAAAGTATCCTATATATTATTCTAAACAAAAGGGTACCTACGCACCAAATGTTAGGCAAATCGAACCATAAATACGATTTTTTCGAAAAGATCGGACGCCGGTCCAACTCCCGGAAAAAAAAGTAAATTTTGTCTAGTCTATGACATTGCGGTTGCTGAAAGTTATTCATGTACAAAATTTCATGAAAATGAAAGAAATGGGCCATCCCCTTATATAATTAGTATATATAGAAGTATAGATAGATAGATATATATTACACATACATGAAAAATAATAACTTCACCCAAATTTTTGGCGGTAGGTGGCATAAGGTCAAAATATCTGTAAGCAACACTTTCATTTAAAAAATAATAATAAACATTAAAAAACAAAAAAAAAATAGTCAAAACTTGTTCGAACGTCGCATACCCTTTCATTTGCCCGCCACTGTACATAAAAATGTTAAATCTTTACCCAGCCAGCAAAATTATCGTAAACGAACTGGGAACTGCATATTTTCTCGAAGAAAAACTGGCTAAAATGTCGTTTATGACAGCCGTTTACGATTCGCTTTCGAGTACTTTATCGCTTGAAATTGTCGATCGCCTACGAAAAGTCGTAAACGGATCAAAAGAGCATTCGTGTGCGAATATTATATATTATAAAATATTGTGGTTCAAGAAAAATTTCCAACAGAATGACATTTTTTCTTGTGCTGACAAATTGCTACAATATCTTTTATTTTGTTTTTGTTTTATCGTTTACGAGCCATTCTCAACCGTTTCCCCGATCGAGAATCCCTCGTGAAACATAGGGCTGGTTTCTCCATCTCAACTTAACTTAGTTAAGCCAATTTTCTTGACTTAGTCATGAATAAGCTGTGTAAAACGTAGGCTAACTTTGGACTTAAGTCCAAAAAGTGGCTAAACTAAGTTAAGTTGAGTTGGAGAAATCAGCCCATAATGTTCGTAAAATGTAAGTTTTTTTTGCTGCCTGGGTATGTTGTTCTAGTTTTTATAAATATGTACATATGTAGTTGAATTTCGAGCTGTTCGATTATTCGTGTTTAACTTTTTGTGTTTAAAATAGATTTTCCCGCGGATTTTTGCTATTAAAACCAACAAAGAAATTGACCAACGGATCGATCTGCGTCCTCTTTTTTTTTTGGAAAATTTTATCTCATTTCATTTATTTTTATAAAGATTCTGCGGATATAAATTTTTGCCGACCATCAGTTTGCGCCACTGAATATCACTAATTGATATTTTTATTAATAAAAGCTTCGTACAAAAAAAAAAATGTTTGAGTATATACTATTTTTCTATCTTAATTAATGGCGAAAATCGGTTTGCGCCTCCACTTTCCATTGCCCCAGGGCGGCAACATACATACATATGTACTTCATTTAATGTTTAACTGCGAGGTAGTGATAACCAGACATTGAACAACCAACCCTAAGTAAGTACTGATTATGGTTAATTAGTTGGGTTTTTTTTTTTTTGATTGACGCCAAGTATCAACACTTTTCAGTTGAGAAACCAGGTAGCTACAAAGATTAAAGGGATTTTACATGCAAGTGCAAATTTGAGTATGAGCTTAACTAATGGTGATTTCGTTTCTAGCAAAAAAATTTCGCCTTTTGATTGCCCCTTTCTCTTTCGTGTTCGATTCTAAATTAAAGGCAAAGGGTGAGAAAATGTTGTGTTCGTTTCTTAAAATGTCATACTCTTATTAGGCAAAGAAGGCACATTCTCTGCCCTGTGGAACTTTGGCAGGGGAGATAGTTGCCCTAAAAATCAAATACGATCAGATTTAAAACGACAATATTATGAAGGCAAAAACATGCATTTTTTCAGGGTTGAGTGTAACACATCAAACACATTTTGCACCGGGGAAGGGCAACATTTTTTTGGAAGAAACGTAATCACCATAATATGTAATTATAGTTGATAATAAATAATCTGTGAGCATTTGCAATTTTAAAATCAGATACTCACCCATGATTAAATTAAAAATAGATTTTCGATTTTGTTTGGCGTACATTGACATCTTTGCAAATGTTAGCTGTTGTTGTTGTTGTTTCCTTTATTAAATTTGATTAATAGCTTAACAGTTGTTGTAGCTATTATCGGCAAATTTTTGCTGGTTTTAGCTGTTTTTTTTGTTTAGTGATTTTTGTATTGTTACTTTTACTTTTACGTTTATTTCGCTTTGCCTCGTTGTCTTCACTTCCTTAATTAATGAGCCACCAACTACAACACTGATTGAGTTGAATGAAACCAAATTTATATTTATATTTAATTCTGTTTGCAAAAAAAAAAATATTTGATTTATCTAGCCGAAACTAAACGCTTTAAGAAATTTTGCTTAACACATAAAATTTAAGTTACGTGCGACACACGATAATAACACTCCGCGACTGAAATGCGAACAGCAGCAGAACCGGCTAAAAGATCAGAACTAAGCGGTCGGACGGACAGTCATCTCACCGACAAATCCAGCGTATTTAACCGATGTTCGGATATGTGAGTTGCTTGAATGTAGATTTCCCGAAGAGTGCGGATTCCCCAAGTCAATATCTACGTGTACATATGTATTTATGTATGTATATGCAGGCATGTATGTATTTAGTTTGGTGTATTAGTTTCAAACAACGGCTTCAGACAATTGCTAAAACCCGCACTGAATCACTTGTATCCAAAGCTCTGATTACAATAATAAGAAAAATTTTTACTATGACTCAACAGTTCCATGAGTTATGAAATTCTAACTAATTTTTAATTTCATTATTTTTCCCTTTGGACTAGTATTGCTATTCAATCATAAGTTGAACCATTTTATTTAATTTAATGTTTCAATAAAAATAAATGATGAATAAAAATTCAAATACCTAGATACTTAAAAATTACCTATTAAAAAAATTAGGAGCGTTTTGAGAAACCGTAAGTTTCCTTTTCGGTCTATTATCGTAGCACACCCAAAATACTCCGTCCAGTTTATCTTTGGTTGATTTAAGTAGTGTTTTATAAAAAAATCATAAACGCATTTGGGAGTTCGCCCGGAGACTTTGCGGATTGTGTGAGAGAGCTTTTTGGTACTGCGAAATCACTCATTTGAGTCTCCTAACGGCGTTCAGCGCCTGGGAATCCACACAAAACTATCAGCGCAATTCTGGCTAAGATAGTTAAACGTCTTTTGTAGGACAAATGAAAGACAGATGGCACGATAGTTCAAAAGACTTTTGTTACTCTAGCACAAAAGTCTTTAAAGAGCTCTCTCATTCACCACTCATCTATTTTAGAAAAAGAACTTGTATATCATTTAGCTCGCACTGCTTCAAAAGCCTCAATGACCGAGTGAACAAAGCGCAGGCAACGGAATTTTTTTCTTTTTTAATCTACATTTCTTTCGTTTTTAATTTAATAGTTAGGTTTTATCTTGTTAAAACAATAATATATATTTTTTTTAATTTAATTTAATTTAATTTTTAGAAACTTATTTTTTTCCCCTAATTTATTATTTTATAAAGAAAAATATTTTGGTTTTACTTCATCTAATTTTTAGGATCTTATTTGATTTTTTTCCTTTTAATTTTTAGATTTTACTCTTTAAGAAAGAAAAATATTTTTAAATTTAGAAACGCATTTTATTTGCTTCTAATTTTTTGATAAAGTTTGTTTTTTTTTTAATTAATTTCAAGATTCTGCTTTAAAAATATAAATATTTTTTTTTAATTTTTAAGTACTATTTAGTTTCTTATTGTTTGATTCATCTTTTTCTAACTTAACTTTTAGTTGTTATTATTTTAAAAAGAAACAAAAACATATATTTTTTTAATTTCTTTTAATTTTTAAAAATATGTATTATATATTTTTGCCTTAATTTATTTTTATTTTTTTGTTAATTTTTTTTTCTCCTTTTATTTATTAGTTTTTATTGTTATAAATAGCTCATTTTATGTAATTTTTAAAAGGTGATAATTCGATTAATCTTCCGAAAGACAGTAAAGAGCTTTCAAAATATTTGCTAAAATTGACAATTGTCTTACGAAATACTGTGGTGAGTCGAAAGATAGTTGCCATTATGGCCCTGTATATTTGTCAGAGATCTTTCAAATTATCAAGATTTATTTTTTCATAAAAAATTTCACTCATTGCACTTTTAAACCCACACATTTATGTACCTATTTACATACATATGTGCAGATGTATGTCTGTATTTTGTAATATAAAAACGAAATCTTGCTGTATGCAACCGTCCTCTACATACATACATATGCACAGCTGATATGGCTTCTATATAAGATTTTCACGTGGGTGTGCAACGAAAAATTCGCTGCAATTAAGATTAACTGTCGTTTTATGATTTTTTACATATCCCTTAAGTCTGATGGCTTTATAGTTAAAAAAATAAAAAATCAGCCACTTGTTGCATACGAGCGCAATATGAATGCTTATCATTGTTGGGACACTTTGACAAACATCAATTAAATAGTAATAAAAATGCAAACATACAAAGTTATATACATACAACTATATATGCACAGATCGCTGTCGTCATAAACTACAACTGCACCACTTTTAAAGCAAATGATTTAGCGCAAATTTAGTTAAGTCATACGTTTTTAATAAAAAAGATATTTAAACATGTTAACTAGATGATGTTCTACATTTATTAACACTATCACTCATTTTTTTTTATTTCAACTGTTTGCATTATTTTGCAATTTTTTACATATTAATGTGTGTATTATTTTCGTATCTATTTATTTATTTTTTAATCATTTGTTTGTTTCTTATTATGTTTGGTTTTATTAAAATATTTTTTTTCCTTTTAATTAAATTTCGCGGCAGATGCGTTGAAGCGAACTTGTCAATTCCTAAATGCTAAACAAGTGTACAGAACACACCTACACACGCGCGCTATTCAGCAGCTGAATATCGCGTTGATTGCGTACAATTATGTACGATGGCACACCCGCTTTAAGTGGAGTCACGTTCTAGAATGACCAAGCCCGCCCCAGCAAGACAAGCTCAGAAGCTCGCACAACTAACTGAGCAAGTGCGGTTATCATTAAACGGCAATCACTAGGCTGATCGGGATGATTTTTATTTGGCCGTTTTTTTTGCTATCATTTTCAAATTTTCCCTCAAATCAATCGATTTATAAATATATGTATGTATGTAAGAAAATGTTTACGAAATTTCTATTTAGGTAATACATATTAACACATGGCGTACATAATCGTACATGGCGTATGAGTAACATTTTTCATATTAAAATTTAAATTTTTGTTCATTCTCAAGGCAAACTTAAAGTTCGAAGGCCATTTAGTGCTTGAAAAAGGCACTTCCGAGAAAAAAGTTTCAAACAAGAGTGACGTATTTTTATTCTCAAAATGCGAATCAGTAGTAAAAACATGTACGTCTAATTAAAAAAGATGGCCTCCCGGTCAGTTAACGATCAGTAAGAAAAATCTATCATTTGGCAACATCTCATAGCCCAGTAAATCTTTTATATTTTTATTCTCGAGCGCACTTGTGCACAAGGGTATTATAACTTTGTTCACATAACGGTTGTTTGTAACAGCAAAAACGAATCGAGATAGATATAGACAAATGTATACATAAATGATCAGAATGAAAAGAGAAATCGATTAAGCGGTGACTGTCTATCCGTCCGTCAAAAATTGCGATATCTCAACAAAATTTGGCATGTAGATTTCTCTTTAGCCAAAGTAGGTTGGTATTGAAAATGGACGAAATCGGAGCGTAACCACGCCCACTTCCCATATAACGGTATTTTTCAGAAAAGTTTTTTGTGGAGGTGTTGCTGTTTTTTTTTATATAAAAAAAAATATCAAAAAACAATCTAAAAAATCAACGTTAATTTTTTAACGACTTGAAACTTGCACTTTCTTATACTACATTTGAATGGGCTACAAAACTGCATACCCAAAAATTTTCTAAATATTCTTATTAAAAATTTTAAAATTTTAATGAAAATTTTTTAAAGTTTGATTAATTTTTTTTTCAATTTGTGCAAGCTTTTAAACTTTTATAATTGTGGTTTCTGTTATAGATTGAATTATATTTTAAACGACAATATCATTTTGAATTTCGTTGCTAATTGGATGATCGCATCTGTATTATTCATGAAAAACAGTGTTGCCAGCATTTGAGTTTCAAAAAGCACCAAAACTTAGAAAAAACCGTTTTACCACACCAAAAGCACAAAATTTGTTTGAATCAAAGGATACTTTTTTTCATAACAGTTTGTATTTAACAAAAGTAAAAAAAATAAACAATGTTTACAAGTATAAATCAATACACAAAACCTTTTCGATTTCATAACTATTGAACAACAGCCTCTACACATGCCATGATGACTCGTGTTTACTAAGTAATACCGAAGTACTGCTCATTAAAACAGGTATATATATCTCGAGAAAGAAAAATCGAATCGCAACAAAAGAAAATAAATTTTCAAGGGGAAGAGTAATGCTAAATGATGCCCTAAGTAGAAAAATAGTGGTTATTTTCATAATATAACCTCAAATATCGCCAAAAACCGTGTTTTTGGCACTTAGAGGTTGAGATATTTCACATGCTAGAGCACTTCTGTGATCATATTTGCATTCAGCACCAAAAAATCTTCAAGATACTGTGTAATCAGTCAAAATATGCAGCTAATCTGAAAACGCCAATTATATGGATGAAACCTTAGCTGAGATGGATAAAAAAAAGTATTGCGTTTTTTTTAATCCACAAATATTTTTAGTGGATAATTTTCACTGGAAAAGTATCTGCATGTATAGTAAAAGCATAGACAGACGGCAGCGTTGATTTGGATCAACTCGTTAATTCGGAATTAACTCGGAAATTAACTGCAGTTGATCCGGATTAAGTCCTGCAGCTAATCTTAATCTTAAAATTAATGCAGAGCAGTGGAATTTTCGGTGACAACACTGACCAAAACCGCCAGCCGGAAGGCGAATGGTGGTAGCTGCGTACTAAAATTTCGTAGGATCCAGGTTCGATGCTCGGTGCGAGCGGTTGCAAGCAAATTTTGTTTATTATATATTTATTAACCGTTTTCCAAAAAGGGGGAGGTTAACAGTTCGACGGAATATTCGTCGATTTCTATATTTTTTTTACGGAGAGGTGGTACTAATTTAGTATAGATCCGGTACTCTTAATGAAAATTGAATAATTTTTTGTTTAAAAATTATTTGTTTTTTACTTAGATTTTTTATTTCATCTTTTGTTTTATTTTATTTCGCGTTATTTATTTCATTATAGCACAGTTGGTTTTAACTTTAAGAATTTAATTTTATTTAAAAAGCCCACAACAATTAACATTAAAAAATAAATAAATGTAATAAATTTTGCCGTATGTCTAGTTATAAAGCTTGTTGACTGCATTTCGTTATACATTCTGAACGTTCGGAACAAACATTTTCGTTTATATATTCGTATTGCAAACGCATGTCATATATATTTGCAATAATTTTTTATATTATATTTAAAAAAAGAAATTAAAGGTTCGTTCTTTTGCTTTTTTATTCATTCTATCCCGCATAAACTGCAGGCGACTAACTGATATTTTAATCGACCAACCTAGGACATAACCGTGCTATATGTGCATATATATATTTCGAGATGTACATACGTACATATGTACATACATAAATATTTATGTATTTTGCTACGCGAATTTCATCACGCACAGCTTTCGCTTAGCATTTACCTTGTAATCTGATCTGTATATAAGTTTGTATGTAAAGATAAGATGAACTATGTAGTAATTTTAAATAGGTATGTATGTAGATGGTATTTTTGCCATTTCGCAGTTTCTTGCAATTAATAAAATCAATCCTTTTGAAATTGAACATATGTATGTATGTACATTAATATGACTTTTTCTAAAATTAAATACACATACACACAAGTGTTCACGTGTTGATTTTTTCAAGCTAAATTTTTATTTTGTTATTTTTCTATAAAAATATTGTCCAAGCTTTAGCCAAAACCATGTACTAAATAAGAGTTTCAATCTTTATGCAAAATTTTGGAAAATTCATCAAAATTTCGAGCTTTATACTCTGAATTTTTATAACATTTTTTGTGTATGCAGTTTTATATAGCCCATACCATTTTAGTCTCATGAAGTGTAGTTTCAAGCGGCAATGCGTGTTGATTTTTAAGATTTTTTTTTTAATTTTTCGTTTTTTTTTTTTTATAAAATAAGTGCATTTTATGAAAACTGGCTTTTATTTTTGGCACTTTGCTGCGAACGGTCTTCAACATTTTAATTTCATAATAAACTGATGCTTATATGGAAAAAGTGCAAAAATCCGTCACCAAAAAAAATACATACATACATATTCCAGGGCGCCACACAGTGGTCTCAATAGCGAATCTAGCGGGACAAAACTATTTTAACAGATTCGCGTTGATGGATTTGTACACCACTTCGTATCTATTAGCTTATGGGGCAGTTTAATAATAAAGTAATAAATAATGTAGACAAATTTTTAAAAATTTATCGAATTCTCTTGGAATTGTTGCTAGGGGTTTTTAGCAGTATTTAGGAGTTTTATGGTAGCTGATTACGAATCTGAAAACAGGTTTCAAAAATTTTTAAATGATGCTTCTAATTTAAAAATTTATTGAATTTTAATAGAACATAGTAAAAATTAGGGTCCTCTTAAATTCAAATATTAAAAAAAGTTGGCAAAATGTGGCAAAAATTTTCTGTGCGTTTGTAGTCTAGGTGTTAAATGATAAAAATACGTCAATTGATTTTTGGCAAAATTTGGCAGAAATGGTTTCAACAATTTTTAAATCTAATAAAATTACATTTTACTTATGCTTACAAAAATGCATGTTTTTCACTAACTAACTAATAACAAATCCGAGGTATGTTAGCCTCCATCACATCAGGTTCGAGGTCATCTGAAGGTCAAGTAGGGAAAAATTCAATACAATTTTTCTGAATTTGACCCTGAGATGACCTTGGCATGACCTCTAGATGACCTTGAAGAATAACACACATTCGGATTCAGCGACAACAAAGACAAAAAAATTCATTTTTAATTTTATTGAATAATTTTTTTTTCCTAGTTGAGGTTAACGGATCTCGGATTCGGGTTCAGTGAGTCGAAAACCCCATATATCCACATATATGAATTTTAAGGTTTATTTAATTAATTTTTCCCTTCTTGACCTTCAAATGACCTTGAACCTGACGTGATGGTGGCCAACAGACCTCGGATTCGCATTCAGAGATGCCCCATCGGGGAACGTCACAATTTTCGCTATTATTTAGAAAAAAAAACTTTAGATCAAAACAAAACCTAAGGTGCTGGATACGACTCTGGCGAACTCTGAAATTTTAAGGAATCTGTGGTACGTTCAGGGCCGTAGCGTTTACAGGGGTCAAATGCAAAAATTTTACATTCATGTAAATCCTAAAATGGTGGGGTCTTCTTACTAGACATGCCTAAGAAATTCTATTCGGTCCTAGTGACAATTTGAAAACTTTCATTTTTAGTATTTTGTACCGTCCAGACCACTATGCGCCGATTAGATAAATTTGATTTTGTACAAAGTTTTAATCCAGCTACTTATAATTCTCGATGCTTAGGGCGCGTTTAAAGACGTAGATATTAAGGGACCGATAAACATACGTGTACATTAGGGTGGTGCAAAAAATACACAAATTTTGATCGAATAAAAAAACCACCAATAGAATTATGATGCAAATTTAACTCTAAAATAAAAGAACAAATTTTTGTATATTTAGAAGGTATGAGAGTATCGGTTATGAAAAGATAGTAAGTGAAATTATAAATTTAAATATACACCATAATTTTATTGTTTGAAGATTTATGAATGGAAATATTTTTATTTGATCAAAAAATATTTAGTTTTTACAATTTTCTGGGGAGAGGATGGAAAAAAATTTGGACCACCCTAGTGTGCATCCAT